CCCCGCTCCGCCCCCCGGGACGCTGCCCACCTGTCCTTTGTGCGGGGCGGTACCATTCGATCTTGCCAGCTCTCCTTCAGGGAGCGCCCGCTATGTGCCAGGCGCTGTGCCAAGCCTGGTCTCGGGTAATCCTCACAGGCCCTCTGCGGCGAGCGCCTCTGTGCGCCCCGCTCCAGGCGTGGCGGGGTGTGGCCATTTGCCCCGGGTCACACGGACTTGAGCCCCCAGCCCGATGCTCCTTCAACCACCAGGCTACAGCGCCTCCCATCGCTCCACATCCACATCCGTTACAGCTCCGGGGCCTCCCGACACCCTGGGAGACATCACCACCCTAGAGGCTGGCATCGCGGTGCACCACTGCATGCCATGCGTTCGCAGCCTCACTGCACTTTCCCAGCAGCCCCAGGGGAGTTATTAGTACCCCTGTCTTAGGCGTGAGGCACAGAAAGCTGAAGCGACTTGCCCACGATCACAGGGTACAGTGTGGCAGAGCTGGGGTTCAATCGACGTCATCAGACCCAGGATCCCAACTCCAGGGCTCTCTCCATCTCACCCCTGAACTGTGGAGGCTGGATTTCAACCCGAATCATTGCCTTGCCCTCTTCTGCCCACCGGGTCCTGCCTCAGCATCGGTAGAGAGCCACCCCTCCTAGCCATACCTGAGAAATCTGAGAAGTTTCTAGGCCTAAAGCCACTGCCACAACTCTCATTTCTGTCCCGCCTCCCAGAAACTTGCTCTCAGCACAGGTAGCGGCCTGGGAGTCACTCTAGGTGGACCTCTCCATTTCCCAGGTAGGGAAACCACCACCACCAAGGTGAGAGGCTGGCAAAAGAGGAGTTGACCGGGTAGAGCCTTTGGGGGGCATTCAGTCCCTTCAGGCTCAGCTGTGCCCCACCTCCCACCCCCCAGTCAGGCCCAGGGTCGCCGGCATGCCAAGGAGGGGCAGGAAGTGCCCAGGAAGCAGAGCCAGCTCTGCGTCCCCAGTGGCAGCGAGTGTCTGGGACAGAAGGAGGCTATCTGATCCCTTCCTCACTGCCCTGGCCATGACCTCTTCCCTCCCTCCCTCCTCCCCTGTGGCTGGGGTAGCCAGCACCCTGGGCTGCAGCTGGGAACCCAGAGTTCCCCAACCCAACCAGCATTCCAGCGGGAGGAGGGGGAGGCGAGCCCAGGGCTGTAGGGCCAGGGCACCCCTGGGGCTGCCCCACCCTTCACAGGCCAAGGCCAGGCGCCTCCAGCCTTGCCGTTCCTGACTCTGCTGTCTCCATCTTGCAGTAGCAGAGCTGCCTAAATTTGGCTGGAGGAGGGAATGGGGGAAGCAGCAGCAGGCGGGTGCTGTCAGAGGCCGGGGCGTGGCACCCATCTAGCCGGCTGGCATCTGTGCTGTCTGGGGAAGGGCAGGGGGCCTGGCAGCCCTCTCCCGGAAAGGGGACTGGAGATGTTCGTACCTTCTGACATATACGAGTCATGTACAGACGACATGCAAACTAAGCTTCCAATCAGCTTCTCGGCCAGGGAACAGCTTGAGTGCTGCTTTGGGGGAGGAGAGCAGGAGGACCAGAGGCCCACTGCCCAGGCCTCCGAGGGGGCTGGCAGGGGAGTGTGGCACAGGGTGTCCAGAGCTGGGCGTTGGGAGACTGGTTTTCTTGCCAGCTGTGGGGCTTCATTCCAGTGGCTGGACCCTCTGCGTCCCAGCCCAAGGGCAGGGCTACAGCTTTCCCTGCCTGCTCTGGCACAGTGCTAAGCACACCCTGTCACATGGTTAACCATGTGCGTTCTGCAGCCATCCTGCCCAGGTTTGAGCCCTGGCTCTCCATTGGCTGGCTGGGTGAATTCCTCAACTGAGCACCCAAGCAAACAGCTAGCGAAGCTGGGTATCTCTTTTGGGACAGCCTCTTCTCTTCCCTGGAAGCTGGGCACAAGGGCATGACCTAGGAGAACCTGACCCAGTGAAGCTCTCTGGGTATCAGGCCCCTCATCTGGGAAATGGGTTCAGGATGGCAAGGCCAGCTATGATGGCCACGTGATGGCCCTGTGCATGGTAGACACACCACAAGCCCTTCCACTGGCACAGCCTCCCTGGCCTGTGCATTCTGTGACTCCTCTGTCCTGTTCCAATCTCTCCTCTCCTCTTGGCTCTTCTGTCCTGGCTTTTCTCTTGTCTCCAGAGAGTTGTCAGTTTCTTACAGTCTCTTTCTCCTCTTTGTCTCTTCACTTGTCTTGGTGACCTCAGACAAGTTGCTGCCTCGCAAAGTCTCAGTCTACACATCTGCTAAATGGGGGTTATGAGAGGTGGGTGATGTCTGGGGCCTAGAGGGACCATGGGGGGCCCCAGGGTAGCAGCTCTTCTTTACAAGGCCCCCACCAGTCGTCCCAAATGGCCAGGAGGGGTGGGCTGTGCCCTCAACTCTATCGGGTGTGGGGTGTTGGGGCCCCGCTTCTCGGTAACTCTGTTTAACCCCAGATAACTGCTCTCCTGCTCCTCGGCAGGGGCTGATATGGGCTGAATCCAACTTCCTGCCACCCAAAAGCCACTTCCTGCCAAACTTGAGCTGATACTAGAAGAACTTGTTTTCTGTGCACAGAGCAGACCCTGGCGGGGCAGCCACTGGCCTGCCCGGGTGTGAACATTTTTTCCATTTGCCAGTCTGCCTTGTGATGCTGGGTAGGGGAGGCTGAGAACTCTGCCCCCTTCACCTCTGCACCTGTCTGTCCTGCCCCGAGGTAGCTTCTGGGAGCTGCCAACCATCACAGGAAGAGTGCCAAGCATCCCCTGGACAGACATGTGTAGGCCATGACACAGTCTGACACGCCCATACACACAGTCCATCCAGCAGAGCCCCTACAGCCACTGGGTGTTTGGACGAGGACTTAAGCAGATAATGTGTGACTGTCACACGCAGTTAAGGTCACAGAGTCTCACCTATAACCATACGCAGTCGTGGGACAGTGCCATACGCAGGCACATGCAAGGCTGCACAGTCACACCCAGTCCCGCACCATCACACATGGTCTCACGTGCATGTACATGGACGTGAAGATCCCCACACTAGCCCAGCACCGCCACAGATGTCTTCACAAGGACTTTGGAGGGTCTGCTCTGTGTAGACCTTGGACTACCCATAGCAAGAATTACTGGAATGATTGAACCTGGGCTGTGCCCTCGGTTTCCTTGTCTGTGAAATGGGGATAGTAGTTGCCCCTGGGACGGTTGGAAGGGTCAGGAGCTAGGTGTGTGAAGCCACTGGCTCAGGTCTGGCCCACAGGGAGTGTCGTCTGACTTGGGTTAGCTGTTAGCCAGAAGCATCCTGTGCCCAGCTCCTGAGTCCTTGCCTAAGCCCCAGCAGCTGGGGTCTGCCCCCATTTCATAGATGAGGAAGCGGAGGCTCAGAGAAGAGGCCCACAGAGCCCCACTGACCTCGTTTCACCCACTCTCTCACTTTGCCGCTCCAGCCTACCTCCACCACACACACACTGTCCCCTCTGCTCGGAACGCCTCTCCCGCTTGTCTTGACATCCCAGCTCCTCCCCGAAACCCCATTAGCCCCTGCTCATTTTCCTCACAACACTGACTTTCAGGACCAAGACCAAGAGCCATTTTGCCTGGTTCTCTGGCACATAGTAGACACTCAACAACAATTTCAGAACAATGGCTACTAGGAACAGAGTCTGGAACTGCACCCAGGACTCTCCGAAGCTGAGGTCCAGTCTATACTATTGCCTGTCTCATGCTACCAGCAGCCGCTAAATAGTGTGTGAATGAATGAATGAATGAATGAAGCCAAGGCATCAGGGTCCCAGTCAAGCACTCCCTGAATGAACCCCCTTTATTTCCTGGCAGCATGGACTTGAGCCAAGCTCCAGCCACCTCGGATGGCGACAGGGCCGTCAGGGCGCCTAAAGCCGGCTGTCGGGAGCTCATCTGGCCACAGCCGCCAGCAGGGGAGACCAGCTGGCGGTGCAGGGTCCACCGGCCCAGACCTGGAATCCGAGCCACCCCAGAGGCCCGGCTTCTTTTGGGGCCCCCACAAACTGGCCTTTGTTCCCAGGCCGGCCAAGCCCCAGCAGCTTGGGCTTTCTCTCTGCCCATGGCACCCGCGCTAAGTCGGCGGGGGTGAATGAGCCAGCCTCCCCTCTGTCCATGCCCAGGACGTCGCTTTAGGACTAAATGGAGATGTAATTTTCTATACAAATCCATGACAATTTAGATGGAGTGATTGTAATTGGCTTTTCAATGGCGGTTTTGTCCAGTGCTGGTGGCTAGAACTGGGTGGCCCGTTTGAGGCAGGCTCCATTTAAATGACAATAAAGCAATAATATTGAGGACTTGTACAGTGCCCAGTGTGCGCCCCCCACCCCCGCCTGAGGGAACCTCATGTTTATGGATCTGATCCTTCCCCCAGACTGTCTGGGCAAGCGGGTGGTAGGGGGCACCAAGCCCGGAGAGGGTGGCTCTGTCTTCACGGGGTTTTGGGACAGCTGGGGCAGGACCCTGTGTCTACCAACTTACCTGCTCCCTTGCTCATGACACGTCGGGACACCAAGACAAGGAGAGCCACTCGGGCAAGTGGGAGGGAGGGGTGCAACAGCTGGGACAGCACAACGTCCGAGAGCATGACAGAGCCAGACAGCACAGGCTCAGGTCCTGCTCCACTGACTTGCCTCCTGAGCTTCTGCAAGTTACCAAGCCTCTCCATGCCTCAGTTTCCCCAGCCATAAAATGGAGCTGCAGTAAAAGTTACTGTGAAGATGGAACACCTTCATGGGGCATGGCGTGTGAAAGGTGCCACGTATAAATTAATGTTGTGATTTGTTAAAAGGTCCAGCTCTGATGTTGGGTATGCTGGGTGACCTTGGGCATGGGACTTAAGCTCTTTAAACCTCCACTGGCTTCTCAGGAGCACCTTCCTCACAGCGAATGAGGGTTTCAGGAGAGCCACAGGACATGGTCGGCGCGGAGCTGTGCTGGATGGCCAGCAGTCCTCATGTGCGGTGCTCCCTGGCCTCCAGGACCTCCCATGGGCATGATGATGCCGAGCGGGGGCAGAAGGGGACAGAAGACAGCTCACAAGAAGCCTGGAGCCTGGCTCTGCTGTCGGACTGAAACAGGGGGATGAC